TGGAATTAGTTAAGTTGTTCACGATAGCAGAATTATCCTGTATAGAAATTTTGACATAACTGAACTTATAACGGTAGACGGTTTAAATGTATGATATAAAAGAGTAAAAAGTTATTAATAGTGTTAACTATTAAATTAATTAATAACTAAAATAACTAAACTAAATAAAATTAATAATTTTATTCAGTATAATCTTATGGAAAATCATTGTTTAACATGTAATATTTAGCACTTATAATTTTATTTTATTTATATATTTATATTGATGATTTTTCTAATAAACCACATTATTATGGGAGATGATAAACGTAAAACACTAATACCCGTGTGTAACATTGACTCAAAATAATAGAATAAAACTATTGCACATTTCATAGTAGAATTAATATAAAACAACAAAAAATGTCTATTTTTTACATAATATTATGTTATATTAAATTATATTATTTTAAATCTATGATATATAATATTTCACATTGTCAATTATTTTGTATAGTCTCAATTACTTTATCAATTTATCATATTATGAAAGATATACAGAAAACAATCAATACTAAAAAAATATATTAGTTTCTTTACATTTATTTAAAACTAAAAATATTAAACTCAAAAAGCAACGAAAAAATGATTAAAAAATCGCGATTACGTATTTCAGAAACAATATTATCATTTTTAACTCTAAACACATACTAACACCTAGTGACACTATCACTAAGTAATATTTTCATATTTTGCAAGTTTACACAAGTTTAATAATGAATTTGAATTCAATGATAAAGAACTGGGGACTAAGAGAAATGGCTAAATTTATTGNTAATAATGAATTTGAATTCAATGATAAAGAACTGGGGACATAAGAGAAATGGCTAAATTTATTGGGTATAACGAAAACGTAAATTCAAAATTAGTTCGAACACAAAAGAGGAATAAAGAAAGGAGAGCAGCTAGTACACTAGCTAGCGTGGGGGAACAAAAATTAATTAGATCATCCATTTAATATTATCCGAGTAACTCAAATGAACTAGATAGAATTTTTAAGAATTTTGTTATTACTTTAGTAATATCTAAAAGTAATAATTTATGAGATGTATTAGGTAACCCTAAAGATAAAGTAGAAGAATGGGGAAATTGGGCACTTATAAAATACAATGTAAAAGTTGTAATAAATGTTTCGTAGGTGTAATAAACCAAAAAGGAAAGAAAAGAATAAAATAAAAATAAAGTGTATAAGTATTGTAATAGTTGTTTAAAAGATAAAAATATGTGAATATAAGTGTGGTAATAAATGGATAAAAGGAATAAAACTATGAAATGGGTAAATATGAATATCTCGGGGTTGAATAGTATTAATTAATAAATTATGTAAAATATCCCTTAAAATTATATATTTATTACACAATAGATTTTTGGAGGTTCGAAAATATAGGTTAAATTGTACTTTCCATAACACTCTCAAAAGTTAAGTTGAAAAAGTAAATTTTTTGTGAAAAAGTTGTTATTTTGAATCCTCCCTGTAGGCAGGTAAAGGGCTAGATTTATAAAAAAAATATACCAAATAATAGGTATAGACATCATTTATCTATAAAAAAAAATTATATTGATTTGTTCATTTGTTCAAAAATTATGGCAGTTTTAAGTAAAAAATATACAGAGTGATGAAAATCTGGTAAGACACTCATTTTCTCAGAAAATATTGAGAATTTTAAATTTTATTATAGAGAAAAAATATCAAGTTCAAAAAACTCTACAATAATATGTAGTCAAGGATAAAAACCCTTATTTATAATTTTCTTAAATGGGAACCATTATTTTTAACTTTATAATATGATAGAAAAAAATATTACAAACAATTTTGTGCTTATAATTTTTTTGATCCGATTAACCGTTTGTCCGTTACAGCTTGGTAAAGTTAAGTGATTTTAGGTCAAATTTCTATTGTCATTTTATTTTATTAAATACAGAAGTCATTATTTTTATTTGCTGTTGCATAAACCAAATTTTATTGATCAAGTTATGACAGGTAAATGAGCTATAAAAATTTACTACAAACTAAATGAGTGATAACGATAATATTTTCAAACCGGCTTTTCGGTGTATTATTAATAGCTAAGTCTATGGTTTTGTAAGACTAAAGGATCTAACAAAAATACCGGTTGCTCTGCTACCCATATTATGAAACGTAATAAATGGCAATATTTTTTCTGGAAGTCAAAATCTTTAAACAATTATAAAACGTAAACGGTTGTTCGGATAAAAAAAATTATTAGAACAAAATTGTTAATAATTTTTTTTTTTCTATCATATTATCAAATCAAAAATAGTGGTTCCCATTTAAAAATATTATAAATAAACATTTTTATCCCTGAAGGGATAAAAAAAAATTTGTTTAACTTCATATTATTGTAGAGTCTTATAAACTTATTAATTTTTCTTTTTACAAAAATTTTAAATAATCAATAGTTTCTGAGAAAATAAGTGTTTTACCAGATTTTGATCACACTATATAAATACTTTCCGAAATACGTATTCGCGACTTTTCAGTAATTTTTTGTAGCTTCTGGGTTTAATATTTTATATAAGAGGTTTTTTTTATTATTTCTTGTTTGTTTTATATGTTTTTTGTACAAAATTACATTGATATATTTTTAAACATTTAAGAAGTATACAGAGTGATTTTTTTATCATAACCCACTCAATTACTTACAAAATAATAATAAATTAAACATTTTCTTTTTCGATTATCTTAAGTTAGACATCATTCTTGAATTATTAACTACGTAATACTTTTTAAGTTCATCCCTTATGCCTTGTAAGGGCGTCAACTTTGTTTTTTTTAATGGTAACACATATTTTGAATTTAATAAAATGTTTGAGTTTTTAATTTAATAGTAAATGGCATTTGAATTATTAGTATAACTTCATTGGTTTATTATATATAATCATTTAAAGTCTCAAATTTTTGAGTTAATATACATGTATAACACACAAGAATTACAAATACAGGTAGCTAATTGGTTTTTTATGACATCGATATTAGTAGGTACACAGCATTGTTAGTATCAATGGTAGTAAGGTACATTGTTGTGAGTTTATAAATACACTAACTAACAATACAAAAATTATATATATTGATAGTCATAATTGATAATAAACAATCCGTGACTGTGACAGCAATGTCATAAAAAACTAATTAGCTACCTATATTTGTAATTCCTTGTGTATTATACCTGTATATTAACTCAAAAATTTGAAACTTTATATGTTTATATATAATAAACTAATAAAGTTATACTAATAATTCAAATGCCATTTACTATTAAATTAAAAACTCAAACATTTTATTAAATTCAAAATATGTGTTACCATTAAAAAAAACAAAGTTGACGCCCTTACAAGGCATAAGGGATGAACTTAAAAAGTATTACGTAATTAATAATTCAAGAATGATGTCTAACTTAAGATAATCGAAAAAGAAAATGTTTAATTTATTATTATTTCGTAAGTAATTGAATGGGTTATGATAAAAAAATCACTCTATTTATATATATATATAGAGCTTATTTCTATGTTGGTATATATGTCATGTTATGTGTTTATTGATTCTTCTTCTTCTTCTTCCTTGTCTTAATCCCAACTACGTGGGATCAGCCACCCTTATCCTAAACTTCCACTTGACACGATCTCCCACATCATTTACGCTCACATCAGCTGTCCTCAAATCGCATTTAATAGCATCCCTCCATCTCTTTTTTGGTCTTCCTCTACCTCTTCTTCCTTCTACAATCATTTCTATAACTGATCTTACAGCTTCCGATTCTTCTCACCTCATAACATTGAAATAGACTTAGATGGTTTGGTCATCTAAGTCTATTTTCTCTCATCTTATCCACCATTGACGCTACAACGAAACCCCCTCTTATATGCTCGTTCCTTATTCTATCTTTTCTAGTCACTCCACTCATCCATCTAAGCATTCTCATCTCTGCTACACTCATTCTCTGCTCTACTTTCTTATCAACCGCCCAACACTCTGAACCATACATCATAGCTATTACAGTCTTGTAGAATTTACCTTTCAGCCACATTGGAATTCTTTTATCGCATAAGACGCCAGACGCTTCTTTCCACTTTACCCACCCGCACTTAATTCTGTGTCTTACATCCTCGTCAATACCACCACTCTTTTGCACAACTGACCCTAAATACTTAAAACTTTCCACCTCTCCAATCACGTCCTCGGCTATTGTCATTGACCTCCTCATTTCATCTACCTCGTGTTCTTCTTTGACAAACTCGTACTCTATGTACTCTGTCTTACTTCTACTTATTCTTAAACCCTTTTCTTCAAGAGCTGATCTCCACACCTCTAGCCTTTGATTAATTTCCTCCTATTAACACTATATCGTTAGCAAACAACATGGACCACGACACCTTTCCTTGTATTTCTCTAGTAATTTCATCCATCACTATAGAGAATAAGTAAGGGCTTAAAGCAGAACCTTGGTGTACTCCTATCCTTACCCGAAAACCTTCTGATATTCCTCCTACGCTTTTTACCCTGATACAAGTGTCATTATTCATATCTTATATTATATTAATGTACCTTTTCGGGACTCCTTTTCTCATTAATGCCCACTTTAAAACCTCTCTCGGTACTCTGTCATACGCTTTCTCTAAATCTATAAATACCATACACAGCTTTTTCTTCTTTTCCCTAAACTTGTCTATTAGTTGCCTGTCACAAAATACTAGCTCCGTTGTTATGTGTTTATTGATTAAATTGTTAAATTATACATTGTAACAGTAATGATATACTATGTATATCACAACGCAATTGAGTCCGACACTTCGATTGCATTCGATATAAGCTATTAGTTACTTTTGACAAATGTTTTAAGCAAAAAAAACATGAAAATGTAGATTGTGGTTCTAAATAAATCAACTCAGTATATAAGAGTATATAACTCAGTATATAACTATTTTTTAGAAGATCATAATAGTTCAAGAAAATTATAATGTTTTATTTAAAATTAATACATTTTGTAACTCCAAGTCTTCTATTTACATTTTTGACACTATGAACCGCTATACCTTCATATTTTTGTTTTTATGTAATTATCTTAATATTAAGAGCCACTGGTTTTAAATACATTTGCAACTTTCTTCAAAATCTGAAATCATTAATTCAAATGTCAGTTAACTTAATTAATAATTTCAACAGTTTGTTATATCTATTTCTTTTGTATATAGAATTTTTCTTACCGGTATCTTTTCTTTAGTCAAATATTCTTGATATCTAGTCGAACACAAAGTTACTTTGTGTAAGCATCCTTCCATACCACCATGCAAATCAAGTTTTGATTTTTTATACTTCTTACAAATATAATCACCCATTTTTTTATTTACATCTTCTTTATTTGTAGTACGGTCTAAAAGACGGACTCTAAATTCCTCCAACATTTCACCAAAATCGATAGTATAACCTCCTGAAAATTGACAGTATGAAATAATAATTTTTGAATCTTTGGTGCATTTTAAAGTTAACAAAATTATATTTTTCGATTGTAAAATTGGTTAAGTAAAATTACCTAATATTTTGGTCACTTTGTCGTCTATGTTATACCTACTTAAACAACTTTTCAACTTTAATTTCGCTCTGGGAACTTTCAAACGCGCCAAAGATTCTGAATCAGTAATTTTTTTACCTAATATTATTGGTACCATATTCTAGAACAAATAACAATTATTAAATCATATAAATTGTTTAGATTGGATTAAAACTAGACAAGGGAAACATTATAATAAATGTTTAAGTCTTATCATGACAGACTCTTTAGAGTAAAAATGTTTATTTAAGACCAAATATTAGAACATTATATAGAAATGTGTGATTTTTTATTATTTATGCTTTGATAATGTATTAAAAGGTAATACACATAGTACAAAAATAAATTTTTTTAAATAATATTTTATTAACTCTTTTTGATATTTACTTATATATCCGATAATTTTATACTGGATATATTTAGATATCTCCAATTAAGTTTAAAGACTGAAGTGTCTAATAGTTTTTTATACAAAGTAATTCTTTAACATAATCTACATAATTAATTGAAAAATAAAAATAATATTGATGATTTTATTACGAATATCTATTAATAAACTATTGATACGAATATTAATTGTATTGTACAAGGCAGCTAGACCGTAGGACGGCTAGTTGTGCACCGCACTAGAATGCCGTTTTACCTTAAGCCTGTTTAAAAAACGTTATTATTGATGCGGGAGTGGGTCACCTAGGAAATGACGGCTAGCTATACATCCAATAAGTAAACGAGAGTAGACAATAATTAAATAACAAATAATCACATATATTAGAAATTCCTCAGAGAGTATCTTAAATTTAAGGGGTAACGGGGGGCCCTTAAATACTAATGGCCGGCAAAGCGGCATAAAACAAAATAGTTAGTCTCAATTAAAACAAACAATAAAAACAGATGAGAACAGACCGCGAAAAGGCGACTTCAGCAATGAAGATATTTAGTGATGGTCAGGGCCCAATCACTAGTGGCGTGCAAGGACACGTAAACTTTGAGCACAAGGGTCCAATAAACAAATAGAAGAATAATGGCGTACAATGGCCGAACAATTTACTATTTAAGCGAAGGCGCTTGCAACAGAAAAAAAGTGACACAAAAAACAATTGACTGACTTACTTACGACAATGAACTGTACACGGATAAAAACCGACACAGAGGTCATCGATTTACCGTGATGGGTGAGCAAGGGGGTGGGTAAAGTAAGATGCTGGTGATAAGGTTTCCCACGAAATAATATAATCAATGATCTTAGTATCAAATGGTCAACTAGATCCTTCTAAAGGCGTTTTGTACCATATATCAATAGTTCAGTATTTTATATTTATTGTTTACTCGATTAATTGTTACTAGAATATTTGTTTATTGTATCATAATAATACAATATTTTTGAAATTTGAGTTGATGTATAAAAAATTGGTGCATTATTATTGCAAACTAATTGGAACTGCTTATGAAATAAGAGGTGTGGTTACACACCTTGACCTACCCCAAATGATGCCCCTGCAATGTAATATTATATTATTACTTGAAATATTAACATATAATATGATATTATCATTTATACTCGTATGTCACATATTATGATTATAAAAAATCACCATAACAGGGTTCTTTAATTAAAATACAAAATAACCAGTTAATTATATCATAAAATCTACTTATTGTAGAGATTAATAAGTAACGCCTACACGCAGGGCTCTCATTATAATTAACCAATTAGAATAGAAAGCCTCAGTTTCCAAAATCAAGGTATGGGTTGCTGGGCTACCACCTTCGGACTATAAAATCTATTTTTCCCCGTCTAAACTAATTCTTTCGGAAATTCTAAAATACACAAAGTCTACGACACTCTACTCTAGATTTCATTCTTCGGGACTTAGTCGTTTTTTTAATTAATTTGGACTTAGAATATTTTTCTTCAAAACTAAATAACACTTGGAAATTTTAAAGTAAATTTTGCTTTGGTGAATCTTTTAATTTAATTTGATTTGTTCATTAAATAATTATTTTTCTAATTGTGGAAATAAATATCTAATAATATTATAAAAATAAAATCTTTTTTTAATTATTTTATTTTAATAGTAAATCCAACCCAACTTTAAATTTTTAATTAATAGTAAAAATCTACTGTGAACTATTCTTACTGGGTAGCTAGTCATTGAGCTTAATGTCTTTTATTCTAAAAAAACATCGTGCCGACGGACAGCGCAAAGAAATTTACGAATATATTTTTAGTGTTTAGTTTTTGTCTTGGTGATTATTGTGCCGCATCCTTTCAAGGCGCTAGCGTCGGGACACATTGGGCCACCACAATTGCGCCTTGATAAATCTTTTACATAGATATAAATATTTTTGAATCTTGTTTTGGTCAGGCCAAAGAAAAATTTGAAAAATATTGATATCGATTTCTCAATAAAATATTCTCTCTCCCAAAAAAAAATACTTATTCAACAAACGTAAAAAAATAATAAAGACAAATTATAAATTACATTTCTAATAAAATGTAGAATTTTTAGAATCTTTTACGAGTAATATCAGTCATAGATTTCGTGTAATTAATTCGTTTTATTTAAAGTTTGAATCATTTTCGTACGTAATTATATTGACTATATGACGTGTAGTGTAAACCGTATACGTAGTGAATTTAATACAAAAATTAACGTTGGATTACTTAAAAATATTATTGCATGACATAGGACATAAAAAAGATCAAAAATCGTATTTAGTCGAAAACATTACCCTCAAAAACTGAAAAAAATTTTCTTGTTCCCGGTAAATGGGGAAGTCCTGCAAAAAAATTACAAATTTAAAAATCGCTAATTTTTTCAATTTCTTTTACTTAAAACTGCCATAATTTTTCAAAAATGAACAAATCAATATAATTTTTTTTATAGATGCATGATGTCTTACCTATAATTTGATATATTTAATTATAAATCTGACCCTATACCTGCCTACAGGAGGGCATTTAAAATGACAACTTTTTCACAAAAAATTTACTTTTTCAACGTAACTTTTGAAAGTGTTCCGGAAACTCTGATACTTTTATATATATTTTAAATTAAAGCTTATGTAATATACTTTAATATTAAAAAAAAATTTTTGGACTTTATTTTGTCTTCACGGTAAAAATGGCTACCGTATGCTATTTTTGTGTGAAAATTCGAGATTTTGTATTTTACATTTTTAACTTTATTATACTATAACTTTTTGAAAAGTGTATGGATCAACACGATTTTTTTACAAGAAATAATATTTATATACCTCTTTCATTCGACATTCTTTATCTTAATCAGCATATAATTAAGGAAATAGCAAATCATGTAGCTTTTGGAATAATCCACCAATTTTTTAAAATTAAACACTATCTAAAGATTTGCATCGAAGGGTTTTTTTTTATAGTGATTTTAATCACTGTCTGATATCATTTTACTTGATCTAACTACGCTATGTCATCACTGTGCTCCGATTCCACTGTGCTGGGTTTTATTTTTTTATTAAATGTAAAATCACATGAAATTTTGACTGGTCGCTAATTAGTTTTGTATTAAAACTTTTTGAGTTAATATAATTTTTATAGATTGGTGAGAGAGATACGCAACAGTGAAAAATTCTTATACTCGCGTTATAGTAACAAAAACAGCGTTTCTAAACACTATTACACTCTTCACCAATCTAAATCTTTAAATGCTACCAGTAATATTACAAAAGTAATTATCATGATCCCCTTTTATGTGGCAATAGAAATAAATCATTGACAATAAAACACATTTTAACCAAGTATCTAAATTATTAAAAAAAAAGGATAAAAAAGTTATTTCCTTGAAAATATAGAAAGATCATTACCAATGGAACAACCTACAAGTATAATAAACTTTTTGATGTCATGGTCTGGTATTGTTTTAATTAAATATCAGTTTCTGTATCTAAAAAAAATAATAGTAACTGAAATGCAAATGTGATATTATGTGTGAGTGTTTTATTTTATAAAATTCTATTAATGAAAAATTAGCTACAACTATATGCAATAATTTTTTATTAATTTTAAGAAAAATATTTTATCTGGATTAATAATAATGTATGTTAATGATTATAAAACTTGTTCATTTTAAAATAAAACAAATAAATTATTATTTATTAATAAAAACGAATAATTTTTAATTGTTTGAAAAAACTAATTGTTAATCATAATGATATAAAATCATATAAATTACAATACAATGCAATTATTTAAAAAGTTTTAAAATAATATTTCTTCGTTTCCTTTGGGTTTATAAATGATTTTTAATGAGCAATAAATAAATCATCCACATCAAAGAAAATAATTCATTAATACATTTTAAGAAGAGCTTTACCCTCATTTACTATTCCCGCCAATGGCCATAGGTATTTAATAAAAAACATTAGCTTAACTTGTCAATATACTTAAAACTAATAACATTGATTTTCTATAGTAAAAAACATTAGAATAAAGTTTTTAATTTTCAGGTAAGTTTTAATTTTTAAACATTAAAAAAAAGAAAAACATTAGTAACATCCTAAAGTAGAAATGGTTTTACTCGTATGGTGTGGTTAGAAAATCATGCTGCACATCACATAATGCAGATGTTTTTCATTAGCCTTGTCTGCTCTATTGCTTAATTGTACATTTCGATCAACTATAAATTTAATAGACTAAAAATTGTTTATTCAATGTTTCGTTTCAAGGGACATAATACTACTATTTTTCATACTTCGGTTAATTCACTAGTATAAATAATTTATATTTTATGTATTATATTTGTTCTGGTTACTAAAATACCATTATAAGAAAAATTCAGCTTTTGAATCAAGAAATTTTATTTGATTATATCACTGAGAAAATTGTAAAATTTATACTTACAATAATTCCAAATACTAACAAAAAAACATTCATCATTCGTTCTTTTTGTATAGACTACCTAGAACGTATTTCATACTTATAAATTTATCTAAATAATTATATAGATACTTGTATAATTATCAATTTATTATTATATTGTTTTTTTTAATTATGCGGAGCTCTGCCTATTAAAAGATCATTTATGAATATCTTGCCACATCGACCAGACGTAATGCTCACAGTAAATGATTATTATATTCAAAACTAATACAATTCACAACATTTTAATTTATTGAATAAAATGAGTTTTTTGCAAAAAACAATTTACAAATGTATTTATAAAATAATTAAAAACTATTTTTATGTAAACATTCCAGTGACCAATCTATTATTTAGTATAATGAAAAATAACTATATTTCTTGAGAATTGTTTTGATAGTACTAAATTTTTGTTTAGTAATAAAGATTTTTGAAAATAAAAACAGATATTTATTGACACATGATAAAAAACAATATGTTCTAATGATGAATTTTAATGAGTTACTTCATAATATACAAAATAACTATTAAATCACAAAATTATGTACTAAATATTTATTAACTCTTGACACGATATCGTGTTTCCCACAATCGCACATCATGTTATCCATCTATATGGAGTGTTCAGTATGTAAGGAGACGGCTTCCTAATGTCCTCATTGTTTATAACAATTTACCTGTTTCTCTACTTTTTGAACACCCTTTATAGTGTATCGGGATCTGTGTCATAAGTATATGGTGGCCTAGTAGTAAGGTTTGTCTCAACGAGTTCTATGAGTCGCGGGTTCTAATCCCGTACCGTGCCGTCTTTTTTCACAAGATTTCCGGTACACTTTCGATAACCCGACGGCTGTGTTACGGTGTATACTCAACAACTATATATATTCTCGTTCTAGTATAATTCTCCATATCCCTTATAAAACATGGAAATTTAATAAACGGTACTCTTACAGGAAATTTCCAAATAAAACTTTAGAGTCTTAATAAAATATTTAAAAAGATTAATCATTTTTATAGATTTATAAATAAGATATTAATCTGATTGACTTGACCCAACTCAATTAAAACCAATCAAAATATTTCTTAGAAAATACCACTAGAAAAGTCGATTTACCTTAGAGAACAGCTTATAAAGGACAAATCTAGCATAATTCTAGCCAATACCACGACGCCACTCTCTGTGGCCTAGTTGTTTCTTTAATTCAATTGGAACATAGTTATTTTACGTATTTTTTATCTATGTCTGGTATTACATTTTAAGAATTTTTGAAAGGTATATTTTTTTTAACTTTAAATTTTTTTTTATTTTTATCTTGTTTATTTAGTTCCATTACTCTATTTAATTATTAAAAAAATTTTTTTTTTAGTTATTTATTAAGTTATTCACTTTTACATAGTATCATAAAACATCTGGTGGTTGAGTTTGTAATTTATAATAAATTGCAACATTTTATTTCGGGGGTATAAAGGACCATATATTTTTATTAAATAGTGATGGTGTTTATTTAATTATTATCAATACTAATTAAGTATTACACTGTCGTTAGAACATTAAACGATTTCTTTAATTAGTATAAAAAAGACTGGGCTATGTCGCTTTCAGAATCCTTGAGCGTAGTTTTATATTCTTAATCAGCACTAGCATAAAGACTCCTAATGCTAATGTTCTCGGTTTAGAGTCAACACCTAACGAGTATCGCGCTCTTAAAGATTCTCCATTCTGCTTTGTCAATTTTATGCCGATTGTGTATTTTGATTGAGACTGTTGGGGTCAGGGGCACTAAATATTATAGTGCGTACCCGAACCAGCTAATTGCACGAACACCGATCAGGCTGCGTAGTGTGATATATGTAAATTAAATCACTGGAGGTGGGAGGGTTCACGTGCGCAGCAACCTGTGATCTATGTAGTGATAGATGTGTAAGTGTGTATATCTGTAAGTGTGTACTATTAAACTAAATAAATAAATAATTTAAAACTTTTTACAATAATTAATAATAATATTTTCAATGAATAACTTGACTAGATAAATTTAGCCATTTTGGCTCAACAAATAATATAATTATAAATTCTGAAATATCTAACAAAATAACAACAACAATGAATTATACAACTTCAATAAATCAATAACAAATTAATACGACTCTTCCAATAATAAATGACTCTCAACTCACTCTTTAAAGTAATTATAGTAATAAACAATATGTATAAAAATAACTCCAAGAACAATGGTGTAAAATTATGTAAATTAATTAAAAGGACAATATAAAGAATAATAGTATAAAATTCAATAATAAGATGTAGTAACTAAAATTAACAAATTTGACTAGATAATAATTATTACTAAAATGACATTGAACAGATAACACAAAATTAAAGATAGTTTAATAATTTAATGATTTACCCACAATATAAAACAACAAATACCCGTGCGATAATGACTATTTTATACTCGCAAGTGAGTCACTAAATTACAAAATGGAACACAAACATCAACAATAGTACTCACAATTTACAGAGCTGCTGGCCAAAGATGCTACCTAAATCTAAACACGGACCACAACAATAACAAAAGAACTTACTAATTAAAGACGATTTTTTGGTAACTAAACAATTTTAATATCACAATTAGTTAAAACACATTTGCTAATTAATATCAATAAACGAAGAGCGAAGAAGAATAGAAGCTTTCGAGATGTGGTGTTTCAGAAGAATGCTCAAAATAAGTTGGACGGGCATGGTAACAAACGAGGAAGTATTAGAAAGAATGTCCGTGAGAAGAACTTTATGGAGCAGTATCAAGAAAAGGAGAAATGAATGGATTGGACATGTATTGAGACATGGTGGGTTGCTAGGATTGATTATAGAAGGCTGCGTGGAAGGAAAAAATGCTAGGGGAAGACCACGAATGGAATATATGCAACAAATAATAGAGGACCAAGGATGTACTTCTTATGAAGAGACAAAGAGGAAAGCAAGTAACAGGGAAGAGTGGAGAATTGCTACAAACCAATCTCAGGATTGAATACTGAAGATCAATAAACCACAGGAAAATATTTATTAGCTAATTAGTAGCTTAAGAGAAGAATAAGATCGCAATTTGTGTAACGACAAATACTACTCAAATTAAAAAAACTGTTTAAATTAACAATATTATCAAAACAAAAATAAAAAAAATTGTTTTACAATTTACTGCAATTAGTCAATAAAAAACACATACAATTTTTTCTCAACAGATGATTATTCCACTATACTATCCTAAAAATGTGGTTATGTGTGGGTATGGTGTGTGGTGTGGAACAGCTAATCGCCCGGTAGTAGTGATGTCCACTACAACGTGCGTAGTAGTGAGTAGACACGTGACCGGTCCGAGTACACCTTTAGTTAACAACTGTAATGTTGTTGACAGAGACCAATGTTAAGACTTAACTAGATAAATTTTATNAATCGCCCGGTAGTAGTGATGTCCACTACAATGTGCGTAGTAGTGAGTAGACACGTGATAATGATTAGACCGGTCCGAGTACACCTTTAGTTAACAACTGTAATGTTGTTGACAGAGACCAATGTTAAGACTTAACTAGATAAATTTTATTTATCATTTATTATCTTATGTAAGGGTAAACTCTTTATCTATCGGAATTTACTCCTCAAAGCTGAGGCCTTTATATCCGTATTGTAAGTTTCTGATTGAACAGGTTGTTTGCCTGAACAGTTTTGATATGAATAGAATCTAGATCCATTAAAAAACTGGCGTAAACAGATAGACGGTATCGCCAATTATGATCAGTTTAAGGTTGTTTAGACTAACGCTGTCAGTTAGACATGCCGGATTCTATGGTGTCGTGTACAAAATTGGGCTTGGGTTCTGCATTGATAGAGACACGGCGGATCTCCTTAAATAGGAGAAGAGGCAGAAAAATTAGACTGGAGGGTGGTCACAGCCTGCGACTTTGCACTTCCGGCCAAACGTACGCCGTCAACTCGAGGACCGCCATTCTACTAGTAGAACCAGTAGGTGGCGACCAGGCAGGTAATGATGCACTCCAACCGATGGCAAAAGGACCCGAGGGAGGTGCTGAGATCGTCCCGCATAAAACTGAAGCTCACCATCAGGCGGGCCAAGGCGAAGTGCTAGGCCTAGCTTGTAAAGTTGGTGGACCACGACTCGTAAAGAAAACCCAATCGGGTCACTCAACATCAACACAATCGGAAACTCCGCGGGCCGCCGGCATTGGGCCAGCTGGAAGCGGACGTCTTGGACAGAACGGTCAAAACGCTCTTTCCGACACATCCGTCTCTGCATCTTCCAGCGTTAGGGGTGGACGTGGCGTTAGAATAATCCAACACTCAGGAGGTTGCTGACGCGGTAGTACACGTGCGGGATCGAAAAACTGCTCCCGACCCCGACACGATTCCAAACAGAGTATAGGAGTTTAGTAAACGACCTCGCCCCGGATTGAATACGCGCCGTCGTAAACCGGTGTCTTCTGGAGAGTGAATTCCTCTTGTAGTGGAAGAAAGCCAGTTTGGTGCTTCTGAGAATGGGTGGCAAGCCCGAGGGTCTCCCCCCGTCGTACAGACCGCATTGCATGTTGGTCACCCAAATCAAGGCCCACCTGGTCAATGTCGACATTCTAGTCGAGGGCTAGTTTAGTTTTAGAAGCGTGAGGTTCACAGACGACGCGTCTTCCTTTTTCAGAGACTTAGCCCTTGGGGCAAAGAAAAGGCAGGGTTTCTAAGTGATGGTGAACCTGGACATCCGAAACGCATTCAACTCCGCGTGATGATCACACATCCTCGAAACACTAGACGCGTTTCGGGTGCTTCCGTACTTTGGAGGGATGATCCAGTTATATTTTAGAGGCCGGGTCATCTACGAGAGTACCGTGGGCCCAAAAATTAGACCCGTAACGGATGACATTCCGCAAATTTCGGTTCAACAAGAGGGGAGTAAACTGAGCCTGACCCTGGATAAGACCAAAGTGGACCTGTTTATAGACAGGTACAAGTTCACTACTCTACGGCTCGTCGTGCTAAATCTGGAGATCATGCTTAAGTGCTCCATGACTTATCTTATATGATCTTATACAAGCGTCTAAAGTTCGAGCCCAGAAAGTCATAAATAGCCCGGCGGGACTCATGCCCAATCTGGGATGGCTGAGGGAGATGCAAAGCAGACTCTTAATTAGCGACGTATACTAGGTTCTCCTAAATGGGTTCCTTGTTTGGCGGGTACTTTTTAGTATTCGTCCAAGAATCAAAAACTTCTACTCAGGATGCAGAGGCGAGCGGCGATTCCGAACGATATCCAGGAGCGGGATTCTATAGAGTTCCGACTTGGGCTCGCGTTCCGAGTTGAGTCCATGAAGGACCTAATGTTGTGGAGCCGTAAAGCGTATAAGCTTCTCCAGGCGTTCGCTGAATCTATCTTGAAAAAGATGGAGTGAGCGGAACACCTGTGACATAGACAGCCACGCCACCCGGTAAAATAGGACTTGAGGTTTTTGTTTTTTTGTGTTTTGTGAGTTATTTTGCCAAACCTTCCAACAGGGGAGGCCACACCACGTTATGAATCAGCTTTTGATTAATTTCGAGCCTATTTACAATGTGGTAATGTGAATTTTAGAGATGGCATGGGCAACCTTAAAGTAATGCCTAGTGGAAATTCCAGAGCAGCACACAATATGCCGGTTGTGTTTAAAAAAAAAAAAAGGCAAATATCCTGCAGTGTGGTCTTCAATGGGCTCGAAGCTCCGCACCGGTGTTCCCATTTGATGGACTTCCAACCTACTGGATAGCAGGAGTAACTATAGGTTTCAGGTTTATCTTATCTAAATTAATATTTTATGGTTATGTAAATTATCATCTCAGATAAATGTTCAACATATCTAAACACATTTATAAAGATCAATGTGTTTAGAATAATATAAATATTACACTTGTTTTTTTTTTTGTTACATTGTGTGACGAAAAAATGTTAAAATATTGTAATTCTATTGGTCAATAAATCGTAATTTACTTTTATTAATAGTTGTGAAGTTGATTTTTTATTATTATATAACATTTATAATGGAGTTAATTATACAGTTTTTTTTATTTTAAAAGTCAATAAAGGCAATCATCAATAATCAATAACAAACACAAATAATGAACGGTGAAAAATCCATGAAGATTTTTTAGATATCATTATTATGTTGGTTCGCCTATCCACCTAAGTTTAGTTTCCTAAGAATTTCAAAATTATTAACGGCGTGTGATTTCAATATCGTAAGTGTTGAATATTTATATAAATAATAATTACATGGTTGAATTGGAATTTAATAAACAACTGAGGTCGCCATTTAAACAACCCCAGCACAAAAATTATAATAGTCAACATAAAAGGATAGGATTTAATTCTTTTGCTTGCATTTCATAGTTTAAAAAGGAAAAGGTCAGATATTATGGAGCACATTTATGATTATATTTTACATTATTATATTTTTTTATAACAAATAATTCCTTTTTAATATTTTATAATAGTATCATCATAGTTGTGTAAATTAATTAATTTTTTTCCTTGAAATGTCTCTAAAATTTTTAAAGTCAAATTAAGTAAAAGTAATAATTTTTAAATTAATCCAATTATTATAAAAAAATCATTATTTCAAAAAAAATTGGGGGTATCATTCTTAAAAATCACACTCTATATTATATATTTTAATTATCAGGGTCGAGAGGTATCCAGACTCCTGATTTTCATCCCCGTTTAATTCTGAGTTTGTTTTATTCGTTTAAAACTTAGTTTTTGAATTTGACGTAAATACTCTCATATAAAATAGAAAAAAAGAATGATGATAATATTTAATTTTAATATTCGACTTGCATCATAATATTTTATTATCTTTTAAAAAATTAATATTTTTACAATACTAAGAGTTAAATAAAATCGATTTGTGATAGTTACCTCTAAAGCTAAAGATTAACTGCACTAACTTGATTTCATTGACGTAGAATTTATTTTGAAAATAGTCCAATCAAATAATATAAAATCATTAACACCTTTCTACAAATTAAATTTGTTAAGTCATAGATGTCTTAACATATGCGTATAAATTTCATGCGTTTTTATTATAATATCATAATTAATACATTTTTATTGTAAAAATCTGATAATAAAATTTATTTAATAATAACGCTTTGCATTTATGTCAGTTTCAATAGCTATAAAATGAATTATAGGCAACTTTACTAGTTTTTTTTAATGTTGTTATTTTTCATAAGTTCAATACACCGTATAACACCCATTATTTTATTCAAATTTTTTAATAACTACAAATAAGTTATATATTTTTTTCTTTGACGTCAGTATTATAAAACGCATAACAATTTTTCAGTCACACCGATTATAAAACGAAAAAAACATTTTTTCTACAATGGAATCTTTTAAAATGAAAAAGGACTTTTTTTAATCACTTAAAACTTTCCGTATTCCTTCTTATTTCATATTTTGGTACATATTTATTTTTGTAACTATTAAATATAACTAGTTTTGTAGTATTTACAGTATTATAATCATTATAGTTACAGCCTAAATTCAAAACACCCTCAAAAATATTTAAAATATTTCTTTGCATAAAATATTGAGAAAATGTTATTTCACCACGATGCAGTTTTTGTCTGTACATAAAATGGATTCAATAATAAATGAATAAAATTATGTCTGAGTAATTCATTTATTTTTGCTGTCTTATACTGTGTTCTTAAACAATAAATATAATTACTATAGTTTAACTGTTACGACATTTATAAAATATTCATTGCTTTTTACTTTTGTTTCAAAATCTATTGTTTCAACATTTCTGTCGTAAAAATTTTTCATTAATTGAACACAGAATTATATGCAATTAAAAAAGAGTCAAATATAATAAAAATATGCATACATTTCACTTTATACATTTATTTTTCATAAGAAAACCCTTTTATGTTTTTAATTATCTTTAAAACTTTTCTTTTTTTAAATATAGTCTAATATTAATTCAACAGCATATATAACTTGGTCGGGAATGAATTGTATCTCAGGTGATTAGGTATCGATGTTTTATACCACCAAGCTGTATAAGTTAACATGTAATCTCTCTTACAAAAACTATGTTTCTTAGTAAAATGGACAATAAATAATGAAAAAAAAGACTATATTATAGACTGCAATAAAAGTTTTCTAAAGCTCTTTTTTAATCCTAATAAAAATTATACCTGTTCTATGATATAAATAAACGTAAAATTTTAAGACAAACTCATACCTCTGTTTTAATTAAAATTAAAAATAANGATATAAATGAACGTAAAATTTTAAGACAAACTCATACCTCTGTTTTAATTAAAATTAAAAATAATGCCAAACTTTACTTAAAAGACCCCTCATCCCTTAAAAAAATAGTGCAAAATTGTATTTATAGACTTCAAATCACTATATTTGATATTTTGAACATATTTTCTATTCAAATTTGGATTTTATAAATGTTCTTCCGTTTTTTTTTAATCTTACCCAGTGTAATGTCAGAGGATAACGAGTGAAGTAATATCAGATAAAATTAAGGAAAAGCAACTATTATGGGATAGTATTTAATTCTAAAGAGAACTTTTATATCTTAATAAATGAGATGTAAAAGTCTGTTAAAAAATAATAATAAAAGGAAAGTCGGTAAAACACATAAGAAAACGAACGCTAAATGCATAACTCATGAACTAATTTAACTCAAAAGAATGCGGAAAAGAGACAATTTGAATAAATTGATCATGGGCGATTTCATACATAAAAAAATAGAAAAAAAATATGTATAAGTTATCAATAGCAACAAGCATTATGCGAGATATCAGTATCGCAAACATATAACAAAAGTTGTTTTTCTGAAGTAAATATAATTTATTAAACAAATTTTTCTTGTCAAAATAAGTTATTTTGTCATTTGGTGCACTTGAAAGACCTATATAAATATTTAAAAATACATTTTATATGCCTTTATGAATTAATATGCATGAAATGCTAACATATGCACTTACCCTTGTAATATGAAAAGTATGCAATATAAAAATGTATATATAAATTCGTCAGCTTTTTAAAACCGTATAATCGTACATACATTATTTACAGGGATGACATAAAATAAATTGCTTAAAAATTCCATGCTCTATTCAACAATGAAGATGTCTTACTAACTCTCTTTAAATCACCAAAATGCATAAATTTGTTTAGTTTAATAAAAATAAATTTAAAGAGTTTTTTTAGTTCTAATATTTTAATGTATAGAATAAACATCATCATAACTTGTTGAATTTACTAAAACTGATATTTTCCGATATAATGAGTATTTATTAACATCATCTGATTTTAAAGTAGAATAAAGAAATTAAACAAGGCAATTTAAAAATGTGTATATACACTTTTTATATATTATCTAGGCTAAAAGAAAATATTAAGATTTTTAATGTAAGTAAATATTCAATGTTACAACTATTTCCCTTAATTGATTATATTTTGAGTAGTTTACTAAAGAAATTTAATAAAAAAATAAAAATCAATGACTGAATAAAATAACAATTCATAACCAATTTTCAGATAATATATATATATATATATGGTTTTTCATTTATGTCATTTAATGTTGACTAAAAATACATTTTGGCAATATTTCTTTTAAATATTCTAGTTACACAGAATAATAATATTAAATTAATGGTAATGGAAAAAATTATTTAAATGTAAAAGATAAGAAAAAATTTTTAAATATGGATAAATACAAACTCAAGTGCGTAATAACAAGTGTTAATAAAATGAAAATTTACTAAAAGCCATATGTTAAATTAAAAAACTGGATATAAAATTATATTTTTGTACGTTGTTATAATTTTACTTAAAATACGTTATAGAAAAAGGCGGGATAAGTTGACATTAAGTTTTAATTAAATCGCTTAAAGAAAATATCCACTATAAAAATTTAATAGAAATACTACTTGAATATTGTGACCTATTGGTAAAAATCTCATAAATTACTGATTAATTATTTTAAAAATGAATAATTGATTATTTTAAAAATTGATAATTATTTATTTTAATAATTAAAAATTAATTATTTTAAATATTAATAATTAAGACAAATTTGTCATCTTGCTTAGGCACGGGATAAAATTATTATTTAATAAGGCAAGTTAACTTACCATAGCTTCATTTAGATAATTCTTAAAAGAATTTTATTTTTATTATGATATATACCCCAATTAAGAAGGTGTCTATTTCTGTTAAAAATATTTAATAGGGAAGATCTATTTCATATTCCACTTACATATGCTCCTGGATTAGGTTAATTTTTACAATAGTTGAACTAGTTTAACTAATTATAAGTAATTTATTTTATATATATGTAAAAGAAATTTCATATTCAAATAACGAATAAAAAAACAACTTGTTCATTTTCATTTTTATTAAAAAATTCTCCCAATTACTCCCCTAATTTGATTATACTTAAAATTTAAAATTCTTTTTATTCGTGATGTATTTCTTAAGCTGTCGCAATAAAAAAAAAATTATTTATTAATTCACATATCAGTTAAAACCATAGAAAATAGAACAATAGTATTATATCGTCTTTGCAAAAAATATATAAGTGAGATTTAAAACAAACATATGTGTACATTTAAATTATTTTCAAAAAATTTATCATTGTAAGTTATTCTATTTAAAAATATTACCATAAAAAGATAGCAAACATTACTATATTTTATTAAATCCAAGAAGATCATCTTATCCCAATCATAAATTTGTCCTACTCTTCTTTAAGGTAAATATTCAAATTTACTAACTATGAAAAGTATTTATACTTTATATGATTATAATTTTCTTTATTAAATTTGACGCCCTAATAAAAATTAATACAGTTAAATTTTTTAGCAATCATTATTAAAGGAATAATGAAGTACATATTATTGCTGACATTTTTAATTTTGGTAAGTTTATAATATTTTACTAAAATATTTTTGATTAACATATTGTCAGTTTTTCAATTTCTTAATATATTTTCAAATAAAAACCACCGTTATCATTGAAGACATTACTATTAAATATTGAAAAAAATTTGCCTCCTTCCATGTAACCAGGGGAAATCTCCAAAAAAATAACAATTTTAAAAATCAATAATTTTTGGAATATTTTCACTTTTTTCGTAAAATTAACATAATTTTTTTAAAAATAAACAAATCAAAATAATTTTTTTTTATATTACAACCTAAGGTATTTTCCTTTCATTTGATATCAATTATTTTAAAATCGTACCTTTTATCTGCCCACACAGAAGGATTTAAATAGCAATAATTTTTTCAACTTAAGTTTTTATAATGTTCCGGAAATACTACGAGTTTAAAACATTTTTTAAAATAAAGCTTATGTTATCTACTAGAAGTCCAACAAAATAAATTTGTCCGACAACTTATCTTCTATTGATTGCGGTAGTTAAAAACATGCAATTTTTGTGTCAAAATTTTCAACAGTATATTTTATTTTTCCAACTTTAAATTGATAATACTTTTTGAAATATATATTTATCATCACAATTTTTTTTCATAAATACTTTATGTTTACTTCTTTCATTTGAAATAATTTTTTTTAATCAGACCATTTTCCTTTATACAGGGAGCGTTAAAAACTTTTGAAATACGAGTAAAAAGTACAACTTTTATATAAATAGAAAATTTTGTACGAAAAAATAACTTTTTTAATTTAACTTTTAAAAATGTTCCAGAAATACTGAAACTTTTTTACTTTAAATTAAATTAAATAAATACCTTAATTTAAAGCTTATGTAATATACTTTTACTATGAAAAAAAATTGGAAAATTTCACCATGGTCTTCGTGGTGAAGATATCAAAAATATGCTATTTTGTGTTAAAATTTTAGGATTAGTATTTTAATTAATTTTAAAATACCTTATAAAGGGATTACACTAATTTTCATAAATATTATATAAATTTAATTGTCATAGAATATAAAGTTAAACTTATTTACATATTTTGCTTCTATTAAGCCAAGAAAAATAATTTTGAAATTTTGAACTAGCTCAAATTGCCATTTTTATCTTCCAAAAAATGCGATGTACGATTGCCATGTCGGAAACACTTACGTTATAGACAATTGTCTTTATCGCTTAAGGTACGAGATTAGCACCCACCTGTATAAATAATTTTTCGCATTTTTTCCTTAATTATTTTTGAGTTTCTCACATTTCATGAAATACCAGCACTAGTTGTCTTTTTCTATCAAGCCTACTATCTCTACATATTATGTTTTATGTTTGCTTAACATAAACATAAATTAGTTTATTGTAATTAAAATTATTACAGATTGTACGATTCCAAATAAAAAATAATAATTTGAGTTTATTAGTGATTTTTGAAAACTTTTAACTTATGATTTTTATCTCATTAAGATTCAATAATTTCAATGAATATCAAGGAACCCGCACTGTAATCTCCCCTAGTGAGAATAAATTTCTTATTCATATTACAATTATTTTACTGGGGATTTTTTATTGTAGCTGTCATTTATTTTCTCAACTATGACTTAACCTACTTTTTTCAACGATACGTCAAATGATTACAAATCATATTTAGTAACAATTTAAAAAATAAATTTTAATTAAAAAAGTTAAAAATTACATTTTTGATATTTTATATTTAGATTCTCTCCTGTATACAATTTCTATACCTAAGGTATTTGCATAAAAAAATTATTTTGATTTGTTTATTTTTAAAAAGTTATAAAATTTTAAATTTTTCTATTGTCAAATACCGTAATTTTTTCGGCATTTCCCCTACTTACTGGGAACAAAGAAATTTTTTTAATGTTTGAGAGTAATGTCTTTAACTAGATACAGCTTTTGATAAATTATCTAAATAAATCGGTCCAGTGTGAGCCAAGAAAAATTAACGACAGCCAGAAAAAATACACATTACAATAAAATTAATACATTCTTATCTTCGCTTTGAAGCTAAAATAAAGCAAACTTAGATATAAGATTATTTTTGTAAACCTTATTGGAAATGGATAAAAACTTTTCTTTCTAAAATACTCAATCAATATTAATAAGCTATCGCTCATTTTATAGTAGTAGTTAATAAAAGTACTTCAAATTACCACATTTACTTAGTTTGTATACTTTAAATTAATCCATTCGTAATCTTTAATATTCATTGATTTTTTTTTGCGATGCACTATTTATGATATTATAATATTAATCATTTTATTTTACATAGTTGTCACTGTCGATAATATCATTGGTAAAGGCTGATAAAAAGAAAGATTCAGAAGTACAATCTCGAAAAAGAATCCCTTCGGCAAAAAGTTCATTAAAAAATTGTCTAAAAAGTTATAAATTAGCTGATATGGTTACAGGATATTTTGGTAAAAAGATTTGAAAATCACATAAATAAGTTTTTGTATCTTAATATATATTTTCAATTGTTCAAAATAACTATTAAAAATGGTCATTCTACGACAAATGTATAGAAAGCACATAAATTTAATAATTTTAAAAAAATCATACAAAAATAATTTTTTCAGGAGGTTATTTATATGATTTTAATCATGTATTAAATGAATACAGAGTTCGCTTACTTGATAAAAGTCTAAGTCATGATGAAGTTACAAACCAAATGGGCTCATATATATGTGATAAATATACTGCAAAACAATTAGATCTTCATGGTGGAATTGATGGGTGCAAATATAAAGTAAAAATATGTTCACAAAAATTCCAACATTACTTGATTCGAAAAAGATTGTCGGTTAGTAAAAGCATGATTAATTTCTTAGATAAGTAAATTTCAAAAATAAATAATTAATGATGCATGTCCGTTTGAAATACTTCAGACTCTTAAAACTGTACAGGGAATATTTTTTTTCATGCTACTGCTCAAAGGTACTTTTAAACATAGGTCTTAAATAAAGCAAATTTTTAGATTTTGTTTCTGAGAAAATTTAAAGAGAACGTACTTTGGTTCTTAAATCTAAATTACTAAACTAATTCCTTAAAAAAAAATGTACGTAAACTATATACTAAAATCTAGTTTAGCAAGTTTAGGTTCTGTTTATGTAAAATCACTAAGCACTAATTTGTTTATTTCTATATATATTACATAGTAATTTAATAAAATGATAAAAATCATAATGAGCCATTTTGGAAAAAAAGGATTGAAACTTTTTAATCCCGGTAGAATTCTTAAAATTAGTCATATAATTTCTTAAATAAGTTTATTTAAAAATTGGATCATAACTGATTAGAATCAAAATGTTCACTCTGTTTTAACTGCTGTTTTTAAAACAGTTATAAAAAGCTTATCTTCTTTGTGTTACTAAAAAATTTAATTAATAATAATAAAAATATAAACTTTAAAACTAGAATAATACTTCAAAATATCTATCATTCTGAAGCACAATAGATATTATCAATTAATTTTGACTTTGTTAAGAATTTCATAAGATATTAATTCTTTGTGATACTGAAAAGTTAGACAAATGTAAAATATTTAATTAAAATAGGATTTCAGGAAAAAATCAATACTCATCTATAATTCTTTAATAGCTAAATTTTAAATAGTATAAAAAATAAATGTTTAACATTATTTTCTTATACTTTGTGTACAAGTTAAAATAAAAATTAAATTTTAAAAAGAAAGTGAGTGGTGGTTTACATGAACCGAGTGACTCCCTTAGGTATATTGCTCTTAGTATGGAATACATAATAACATAAGATTTTTCAAAATAAAACAAACGTCATTATTACCTTTCCAAAAACAAAATCGTTACTCCAAAATAAATCCTTTGTTATTTAAACGACAGTAGTGCTCCTTTTAATCGGGTAATACCTGTTCAAGTATATACTTGGATACTCAAGTACTTTTGACCGTGTAATACCCAAAACGTACAAATACGTTAAATAATTAGGTGGCCGAAAAAATATTTTGTTTTTCAAAATAATTAGATATCTATTCAAGGGTTGAATATTATGAGAGTACGAGGAAAATATATTCACTAGAAAAAAATCTTATGGTAAACATTTTTTTTTAACTTAAAATTTAAAAAAATTATATTGTATTATAAATACCGAGCATAATAACCAAACCAAAAAGCGCACCCAAAATAAAAAGGATACCCCATTGTCCTTTATCCGAGTAATACTCAATAGACAAGAGTACCCTATATAACTTCGGGTACCCGTATGGATGTATCAATAGTACTGTTTGTCTGTAAAAGCTGAACTTTTGAATTGACAGACATATTAACTATCTCAGTCAAACAAACTCTCGCCTAAAAAACAATAAATTAGAAAACAATTATATTTTAGCTTGAATAATATTATTTCATTGCAGCGAAAACAGTTACAATGGATTAATTATAATTTTATCTATTGATAAACATCCTATTATTATTTTTAGAAAATCACCAAATTATTACAATTTCTAAGAATAACTCCGAAAGAAGTAGAAGCAACTGACAAAGAAACAAAAGAATGAATTAAAGTTATACTTGGCAATCAAATTCATTACCAATTATATAGATTTTATACAAAAATGTTTGTAATAGATTTTTTTTGTATTTGAAATTTAACTAAAATAAGTCTTAATAAGCTGAATTTCCATAAAAAAATATAAATGTTATGGCTTATAGACACAATCGTAGATGTAATACCATGACATTTTTTATTTAAACGTTTCAAGCAGTTATATAAAAATTAGAAATTCAAAATTCCTATCAGTTATTTGATACACTTATCATGAAAGCAATAATTGGGACCTTATGATAAAAACACAAATATCAAATATAAAAATACACAATAACAAATAATTATAAAAAATTTAGTACGAATTATTTTTGTTTATGATATGTATCCATCATTTTTTGCCCGTTAGCATTTGCAAACATTGGTTAGAAAAACATAGTGTGTCTATTTTTAATTAATGTAATAAATAAAAAGAAAAGAAAAAAATGGATGAGGTAAAAAGGTAGACGGAATAATTAATTAACATATAATTATCACGTGTATATGTTTAATTTTAGCTTTGTGAATTTTATATTTAAGATGAATTGGAATTGTGATATCCTTTAGGCCTCCTCCAATGTTCCTTATCCCAAGCGATCTTTCCTATTCTAAAATTTCAGGGTTACATTTTTTTTCTTCTTCTATATATATGATACTCTTTAGGAGTTTTCACCGTCATCACTAAATTCGTCCATTTGTCTCCTTATCTATATTTCATGTTCTTATTTGTATCACCAAATATAGATCTGCAACTTATTTTTCACGGGTCTTAATTTAACCAAATAGTATAGTGAATTATGTTGATTTTATTTATGCCAAGAGATGTGTCTATATTTAATATTTATAGTGCTTTAAATAATTGTAAATTATGATTTGATTTTCAGGTTTTTTACTATATTTATTTAGTTGTGTATAATTATTTTTTTATTTATGAAGGGCTTACACGTGTTTATGATTATTATAAATAAATAAAATAATATGTATCGATCTTCCCTAAATACGCCTTTTTATAGTTAATAATATACATTTCAATGATAAATAAGAGAGTTTGGTTGCATCTGAAAGCAAAAAACTTTATGAATAACGATACAATTATAACGTTTAAAGCAAAAAATGTTATTTAAACGTAATAAAAAAACTAGAAAAAAGTGATACCAATAAACATAATATCGTAAAACGTAATGCAAGTTTTAACGTAAAACAATTTTTATTATAAAAAAAATTAGTTATATTCAGAAATATATTTTTAAAAAAATCTAGAACGTGGAACGTGGTCGCGGCACAGTAGTGACATGGCATAGTTGGATCAAGTATAATGATATCTGACAGTAATTAAAACCAATATCATNGTAATGCAAGTTTTAACGTAAAACAATTTTTATTAAAAAAAAAATTAGTTATATTCAGAAATATATTTTTAAAAAAATCTAGAACGCGGAACGTGGTCGCGGCACAGTAGTGACATGGCATAGTTGGATCAAGTATAATGATATCTGACAGTAATTAAAACCAATATCACAAAAAACCCAACCCAACCCATCCCAACCTGGATGTCCACGCCAGTCATGAATTTTGTCACGACTTCTGCGTAGGACGTATCATCCTTGAGCTTCACCAGTACAGCTTTCGGCTTTAAAGCAACAGCTTGCCTCGCCCTTTGCCTAAGCGTAAGTACGAGCTTGGCTTTAGTTGTCGGCTTTACCTCTTCCTCCGATGGGATGGGAGCTGCGAGCGGCCGCTCCCACGCCTTCTACCGTGACGCTACACTGGACGGGGCCCAATTCTCTATTGTATCGCAACCGATGAATGAGTGGTTATCAAGCTGACGTTGCATTCCTCGTCTCCTCCGCTTTTTCTTCTTTTTCCGTCGTGGGTTCCACGGCCCTGTGTGGACGAATGCATTGGTNACCGTAGGTACTCCCACCCTGGGCAGTCTCTGCCTCAGACGCTCGGCCTCCTCTTTTTGGCTCATCACCGATTCGGCGAACGCCTGAACCAGAGACCACCCCTCCCGGCTTCTCAGCATATGGTCCACCATGGACCCCACACCGAACGCGGACCCCAAGCGGGATTAATATCATAAAAAACCCAACCCAACCCAACCCAACCTGGATGTCCACGCCAGTCATGAATTTTGTCACGACTTCTGCGTAGGACGTATCATCCTTGAGCTTCACCAGTACAGNATAAAAAACCCAACCCAACCCATCCCAACCTGGATGTCCACGCCAGTCATGAATTTTGTCACGACTTCTGCGTAGGACGTATCATCCTTGAGCTTCACCAGTACAGCTTTCGGCTTTAAAGCAACAGCTTGCCTCGCCCTTTGCCTAAGCGTAAGTACGAGCTTGGCTTTAGTTGTCGGCTTTACCTCTTCCTCCGATGGGATGGGAGCTGCGAGCGGCCGCTCCCACGCCTTCTACCGTGACGCTACACTGGACGGGGCCCAATTCTCTATTGTATCGCAACCGATGAATGAGTGGTTATCAAGCTGACGTTGCATTCCTCGTCTCCTCCGCTTTTTCTTCTTTTTCCGTCGTGGGTTCCACGGCCCTGTGTGGACGAATGCATTGGTAGTACGCGGCTTCGGCAAGGTGGCCGTCACCTCAAACTCAATACCCGTCCTTCCGCTTTCACAGGTCGACGGACCAGGAAGTCCTCCGTCCGACACGCAAACGTCTTCTCGTAGCGGTTGCAGAAAGCCTACTATTTAAACGTGACCTTTCTTAGCTGCGTGATCCAATTTTTCATGGCCACATGGACGTTGCGGTTAGCGGCGATAAAAGTGCGCATATACGCAAACATCTGTCCATGCTTAGCCAATGCTTTTTCAAAGGCAGCTGTGTCCTCACATATCTACTCTGTCGTTTTGCTTGCGGCGACATCCTTGTAGTCACCTGTGATAAGAGTGCTGCAGCAGGTGAGTGGTCTGTGTCTAGGATCTCTCTTTCAGGACTGGCAGGCGACATCTCCTTTCGCTTCATACGAAGCGCCTTGTCCTCATCGAAAGTTTCGGGACTCCGATCCTCCAGGTCCTCCCCAAACGAAACATCTCTCATGATGGCCTCCTCATTGCTAGTACATCGTCATCTGCTATTCCAGCTTGTTGTTTTGGCAGGGTGAGCAAAACTTCAGACACCCTATAAATCTACTTCTACTAATGAAGTGACCTACAAGGAAAATGTTTTCGCCGTCCTTCTTGATGTCCATTAGCAAGTATGGTAGGCACTCGGACCACAGTTTAATATTGTCCCAAGAAGGATATACTTTCCAGTCATCGATCATCTTCTCGAAGTCGACCACGTCGTCTTCAATCAATGATCACATCAGCCAATCCACTTCTTTTTTTTACAGCTTCCTCTGCACTACACTAGTAGCAATAAAAAGTCCGTGCACCTGACCAGGCACCCGTGTGACTTCGCGGTCCCTTGGTGACGACTGGAGTAAGCCCGCTACGTTGGGTCTGGTTTTGGAAACACTCAATTCTACCACCCCCTGAGACTCTGATATCTCTGAGGGGTAACTTTGATCTTCGAATTAAGAGCTATAAGTGATTTTTTAGGTAAATTCTAATCTGCGTTTTTACTCTACCAGAGGATCTGTATAGAGTTTTATATAAAGGACCGAAGTCCAAATATATAAAACCACTCGTGGAACCCTACCGCTTATTCGAATGCTTAGATATCGTCTTATATCACGGATACCTTGCATATCTGCAGGATTAACAAGGGTCTAAGAGGCTCACTGTCGGCGACCGTTTATTCGTCAATCAAAATGAATGGACTGTTCATTTCGCGGCTAACCTGTATATCTGCAGGCCGTTTCTCCATCCGCATTCTGAAGCCGCGTCCGATTCCCCAAGCTAGGGAAGCTGCACTCGTGCTGACGTTTCGTAGCCCCGTAGAGCTCGATCACACCGACACTGTAGCGCAGCGTAACGAGCCGAGTTGGGTCCTTGGTGGACCTGCTTTGCATTATGTTAGTTTACGTTCGTTTTACTACCCCTCCACGCCTCTTCTTCATCAACCGGACAGAGTGGTGGTGAAGTGGGGGAACCAGAGTACCCTTTTTTTCCTACTTACCTAAATAGTACATCTGACGCTCGATAAAATGTCTCTACTGATACACTTAAAATTGCAACGATAACAATAGGCAAGTAATGTACAGTACACTGACACATCAACGCGTTCGTTACAGCATATAACGACCGGTTTCCATAAAACCAATTGTATCATTACCATCTTCTCACATCATTGTAAAAATTACAATCAACACAATGTCATATAGCAGCACTATAACATTATCGACGTTTCATACCCAAGAACATATCCACTTAATCTAGCGGTTGTTGATGTCATATTTTCGAATAACAAAAAAAAAAATAAAAACTTTTATTTTCATTTTCATTGATTTAGAAATGTTCACTATGTGCCGGTAAAAAATGTTTCAAATAAATCGTAGGAAATTATTGTGCAAGTGCGTCTACGGACAGCATAGTGGACCCAAGATGAAAAGCGATACGCTAGCCATTTCGGGAAAACAGCGTGACCCAAGTGGTTAGACCCAACAAGTGCGAGAGAACCGGTCTCTTTCTAAAATGGTTATAAACCATAACACGAATCAAGATACCCTACAGAATGCCCTACCATCACACAGACGATAAGAGAACCAGCATAATCAAATTGTACTTATTATTTGCGTCTGCCTAAACAATTCGCGTATAATTTGGACCAAACACGAACAAAATGACGCGGCTCTACAACAGCATTTGTTGGAAATCGGTAAACGCGAAGCGATTTTTACATTACCGCGTACACATGAACAAGAATCGGCAATATACACAGACACTCAATTTATCTCCATCCTCAACCCGCTCACAGATACATGTGGCAACTGTACTATAGAGTAACCCCCCATTATTCAGCCCACGTCCCATTGATTCACCGAGGAATATGAGGACGACCCGTGGAAGTTCCTGAAACAGATAAAAAGTTCTACGTTCTTTTATATTTTGTAAAATAAACTCTGAACAATGTGTTGCCTACATTTCTACGCATCATCTACACGGGACCAAACACTAGTTTTAGTTTTTTAGTTTTAGTTATTATTGAGGTGGACATAATGCCCATGCACTC